CGCATTTCTAAATAGGAATCAGCATTTACCGCGTCCAATTCGCTGGAAACCAATTCTATGTATAACCCTAAAAGTGTGCTACTTTTTTAGATATGTTTTAAACCAGTTCAATTACAACAAGACGAGGGTTACATACCAACCTAACTGAAAATTTATAAGTTATCCAATTTCAATTTATGTGAAGGCAATTTTTATTTACGAATATAGTAGGATATTTGTTCAATTCGTTGAAATCGAATTCTATGTATAACCCTAAAGGTATGCTACTTTGTTTGAAGTAATAATTTTTTTACAAATTCAGTACCATTGCAACAATACTAAAAGTGCATTCCGAAAAAACTGCAAATTTGAGTTTTTCAATTTTCAATATGGTTTATTGGGGAACGTAGGACGAAACTTAGTAAAATACAAATTTTTACCGAAAACCAGATTCAAATGATTTTCATTAGGATCAAAAGACGACAGAGACATATAACATACTGCTTTACCTGCTGAGAGTTAGCATATACCTGCTCCAGTTTGCAGGAATCGAATTTTTTGCTTAACCCTAAGGGTATGCTAAATTTTTATGAACCTTCAAAAATCTCGGAACTTCCTAATATAATGTTTTTCCCGATCTTACCTGGTAAATGGTTTATCATTAAATTATCTGTTAGAAAGTCTTTTAATTACGTAGATCATTAAAAGGTTAGTTTAGTGATTTTATACTAACATCGTGGCTGATATGGTTTTTCGTTTCTTTAGCGATTTCTTTTATTTTCTTAGATGAACCATTGCGGGTTCCAGGAGCAATCATATATCACATATCAAGAAGAGATAAGCAGCTCTTTTGGACTGATTTCTGTTAGATTCTGTGGTAAGCACCTGTCAGCAACCGGTTTTATATCAAAAGTATCCAATAGGTACACAGTATCGATGTATGATTCAGATCTCGAAAGCATCTAACCTATACGACGTTTTTGTCACATTTGCCTTCACTTCGATGTTAGAGCCGTTAGCCGATTTTTTTAGTGCTGGTTAGAATTTGGGATCGTACCCAGCGCTAACAGCGTGCTAGTGCGCCCCTTAAATACGACGGCTACCCCAGTAACCTCCTTAAATTTGCACTGTGTACATTCGGTAAAAAAAACAAAAACCAACATTCGAACGCGCAAAAGCGTGAAACGGAAAAAAGAACTTTTTTGCTTTTAATTGAAAACTACATATTTATATTTGTACATATATATACTATTTATATATATATAATGCCAACGGCATTGCTTACCGCCTGGTATCTCATGCTTTAGCTAAATTGAAAAGTGAAGTAGTTGATTTTAACGAAGCTTAAATGTCCACAGGCATTTGTTTAACGCTGATAAGATAACAGCAAGGGAGACTGAAGTATAAGATCAACAAATGTGAAGCGTCGGTTCCACCTATACACTCACGCACACACAAGCGTATAATTATTATATAAGCGTGTGGGAACGTGTTTATACACTAATACATAATAAATATGTGAAACTGACACATATTCTAATTGACAATATGGCTACTCTGCACTCATATTTTATGCGCGTGTATATGTGTGTGCATTTTCCCACACTGTATTTAGATATTTTATGAGTTCGACATTTCTTGTGTGTACATTTGTCGCTTTTTTATAATGGAAGCATAAAAATCACTGATTAAATATTGGATAGTGGCAGATTTTTAACTATATTTTTAATATTTGTTTGATGTTATTATTATTATTTTTTTTAATGTTATTATTATTTTTTTTTTTGATGTTATTACTCTTAAATTATTAATAGTACAAACTCTATGTTTTTTTTTGCTTCCTGCCACACCTTTCACTTCCAGTTTTAATTTATATTTCCTTTTCTGTTACTTTTTTGTGACATTCTTTTTTTTTTTTTTTTTTTTTTTTTTATTTTTTTGAGCACCCTTGGCGCCCATTTATATGCGCCTCGCTTTTGGTTGGCCTAATTTCTGTCAGCACTGCGAGAATGGCAAATAAAGTGTGCAAAAAAATTAACGCTAAAAAATATTCACCGTTTTAGCGTGAACTAACAAAGTTTGCAGTTTGCTTTGAAATTATTTTAGGATTTTTTTTTTTATGAAAAACGCAAGTGACTGAATAATTCGCATGTAAAATGTGGCATATCACAGACGGGGTAGTAAAAAACTAAACTTTATTGTATTTTTTGGGAAAAAAAAAAATCAAAGGTATGTGAATATATGTAGGTATATAAGTATGTATTCAAATATGTGTATGTGTATGCTTAACATATCTTTAAATATTTTTTTTTACATTTCCTCACGTTGCACCGGAAATTATGGCTAAAAAAATGTAATTTCGCTATTTAATGTGAACGGGACTTTGTGGGTGATTTTTAAAATCTCATATATAAATATTTTTGTACGAAATGGTGACTCAAACACGCCACACAATAGAATTCGTACTATACTAGCCTTTTTTTTGTTTGTTTTACAAGTATTAATCAAATGCGAATATGCATCCCAAATACAAATTTATATAACTTGGTAGTTTTATATATACAAACTTTTTCGGAATACTCACATAAGTCCTAGTTTATATTATATATATCTACATATTTTTATCATACAGTATATGCGCTACTGTTGCAATAAATTTCTTTTATATAACTTTGAATGTATATGTGTACAAAAGTATGTTTCATACAAAGAAATCCTTTACATGTTGCATTTCTAAAGAATTAAAAACTCTGTTCTATTAAAAAAAAGGATATAACTTTTTAAATAACAAGAAAAAATGCTAACTTTGGCCGCACCGATGCTATAATAACCTACACAGGTGCATTTTTTATAGCAAAAAAGTGCATCCCAAGATCTTTACCTTGATTTTGACCGGTCAGTTTTGTATGTCAGCTATATGCTATAGTAATCCGATCTGAGTAATATGTTTGGAAATTGTAGTGTTGCTTTGAGCAATAATTCATGCCAAATTTCGTGGAGATATCTTGTCAAATGAAAAAGTTTTCCATACAAGGACTGCATTTTGATCGGCCAGCTTGTATGACAGCTATAACCTATAGTGGTCCGATATTGGCGGTTCCGACATATAATCGCATTCTTGGAGAGAAAAAAGATGTGTTAAAAATTTTTCGATCGTTATCTCAAAGACAGACCGACGGATATGGCTAAATCGACTCAGTAACGCTGACATTTGTATACACCTAAATATATTTCTAGGGTCTCCCATGTTTTCTTCTGTGTATTGCAAACTTCATGGCAAACTAATTATATCCTAATAGCCACCAAAGTATATATATAAATTTTAAATATGTATCCCAACTGCAGTTTTTAGCTACTCAATGGCCACAGCAGGATATTTCATCGTTTTGTGCGGCAACACGACAGGTTAATAGGCTCAGTGGCGCGATGAAGTTGCCTGCGAATGCAAAACGGTGTGACGAGAAAAAAAAAATACTTACACATACGTATGTACATAGGTACATATGTTATATGTATGTACATACGTCTGCATTGTGTGCCTGCAGTGGAAGATGTCTTTGCTTGAGCTGATATTTATGTGACGTCTTGCTCGAGTTGTGGCTTCCTTTCGACTGTTGCACGTTTTTATTTTTTTGCTTGTTTGTGCGCTTCAACAAGAGCACAGGTGTACAAGGTTTTGCGCGCGATTCTTCGCTTATATGTTGTTGTTTTTTTTCTCGTAAACTCTGCTTTCATATGCTTCTTCTTATAAGTATTGAATGAGAGGTTCCATCGTCGAGGTGTTTTGTTGTTTTGGGAGTAATTTTATATATGCTTTATATATATATATATATATATATTTTCGGATCCTAATGTATGGTTAAATTCCGGTATTTATAGAATTTAGTTGAAATTTCTTGACCAAAACCAACTTTTCTCCCTTCCAAGTAGTTTTTTGCTAGAGACAGAGTGGTTTCCGAAAGTAATGAAGAAGTTGTGAAAAGATATTTGAATTAAGAACTGTAGGCTTAAAGCCGGATTTAATTTTAAAATATTTTCTCGTTATCAACATTGTTAAATTGATAATTTCACTTTTCTACTCATATTATCAAGATTTTTCAATAAAGAATTTTACACCCTGGAACTCACTGAACAGAGCAAAAAACAAAAATCCACATTAAAATTCCCTTTTGAGCCGTGTTTTAGCGACATTTATTGAATTATAGAAATAGGACACATCTATGCCCGAAAAAAATTCTCAAAAATAAGCAACTACAGTAGTGTGAACTTTCTTGGTTAGTGAACAGATTAATTTTCGTTTGCGGAGACTAAGTTTAGATATGAAATTGAGAGAAAATATTGAGAATACTAAATGAGAGCTCACTTTGAAGTATAAGCTAGTCTTTTCGGAATGGAATATTAGTGGCGGAGGCGAAATATTAGAAAAAGTAATTTACGAAAGAGTTGTTGAGACGGAATGCATAATTTCGGCTAGTGGTTGGAGTGTGTTCAATGAGCATTACTTTTCATCGCTTTTCATAAAAATGCGGAATTAATATTTTTATGAAATTTTAAAACTTATAAATGAGAAAAAAAATATTTCAAAATTATTATATTATAAATATAATGATGACTATAAAATTTTTTTATTTTTTTACGTTCAAGCATTTATTATTTTTCAAAAATATTTTATTTTTAAATATTTTTCAACAAATAAATCATTTTGAATCGAAAATATATTTTTTAAACAGGTTTTCAAAAATAAGTAATATTCATATAAAATCTTACAACTCATTCATAAGAAAAAAAATATTTTACAATTATTATATTATAAATAAAATCATTTTTTTTTCAAAATTTTTAAGTTTTTTAAAAATGTTTTGTTATTAATTTTTTCCAAATTTTTTTTTTCAACAGTTTTTTTTTAGGTATATCAAAACAAATTTTTTTTAAATTTTTTTTCAAACTTTTTTTTTCAAAATATTTTTTTTTCATTAATTTATTTCAAACATATTTTCAAAACATTCTTTTTCTCATTTCAGAAATAATATCGCCAAGTCTTCAATCAAAGAATTACAAAACTTTAGTACTATCATTTCGAGAAAATAATCAAAAGCAACCAAATCTTAATTTAGTCCTACAATTTAAGTTATTTTTAATTAAATTAAATCAATAAATCCTAACGAAAATAGGTGTATAAACAAACTATACCAAAAACACAAGAAATATAGCGTAACTCTCATAATAATTACAACAATAAAGTAAAACAATTTTGCGCGCTTAAGTGGAAATTTTTGAAATTTTCGCACGAAAATTCAACAAAACTAAATTAAAAAAAAAAATAATAATTCTAAGCATAATTTAGCATAACGTATTAAAAGCAATTAAGCAAAGCAAACAAACCAGTGGAAGACAAATTTTTTAATTTAAAACAAATACTTAAAATTAAATTAAAACAAATACAAATACATATAGCCAACAACAAAAACAACAATACAAATAAACACAAATAACTTAAGTAGCAGCAAATACACAAAGAAATAGCAAAAGTAAAAAAATAAACAAAAACAAAACGAACAACTTTCGATTTATATTTTTTCAATAATACCACGTTACAAATCCCCGTTACAAAACCGACAAGCAAGTTAAACCAAAAAGTACAAAAATTCACAACAAATTTCGCAACGCAATAGCCGCAATTAAACAAATATAGAAAAAACAACAACAACAACAACTTATATATAATATAATCGAATATATTGTAAAATACTTACAAGTTTATTAAATGAAATTCAACAAATTGTTAGTAGTAAAATTTAACGAAAACAAATTTACAAAATTTTGAAAAGTCTGAAATATAACCAAATAATAATTAATTAATACGTATAAAAATCTTAGATATATTGTATTGTAAAAAAAAACTTTATTTTTTTTAAATAAAAAGTTTAAAAAAATATAAATTTTTTTTAAACAAAAATAAAAAATTACAAAGAATTTTTAAAAATAAAATTACAAAATTTGTTTTAAAATAAAATTTAAAAAAATTACATAAAAAATTGTGAAAATAAAAATTACAAAATTTTTCATACTCAAAAACACTTAACGCTATTCAAAGACAGTGCAAAAAAATTTAAATATTGCATTTCCCACGCAAATACAGTGAAACGCAAGCAAGTCGTAAATAAGTAAACATATTACAACAACAAATACAAATTTTAAATAGCAATTGCAGTTTATACAAAAAAACAAAAATTAATTAAAACCCCACAAATATACAAGCATACAAAGCAAATTCGTTTAATAAGCTACCAACAACAACAAATAAATCAATAAACCAAAATAAAAATAAAACGTAAAACAAAAATGCAAAATATCTTACAAATCTTCAAAGTACAAAGGCGCGCTTAGATTTTTGCGCACATTGCAACACTTATACATACACAGCAACGTAGCTGCATAACGGCATAAAACCGTAAGCATTTTCGTATTGTCGCACTTCAATTAGTTAAAAGCAAAATAATTTAGCAACAATATCAATAAGAATTAATATAAAAAATAACAACAACAACAACAACAACAAAATACCAATAAGAATTTATATTTAAAAAAATCAAAACAACAACAATAAAAAGCAAGTACACACTTAAATCAATCACGAACAACTTGTACAAATATCAGTAAAATATAGCGAAAAACAACAACAACAACAACCAATACATTTACAAAGTAGCAAAGTAGAAATATTCAAACACAGCGAGAAGCGTTTACATAATCACTTTAAAACCAATAACAATTAATAGTTAAAAAACCATAAATAATTAATCCAAATAAATACATGCATACATACTTACATACAAGCAACCCAGCCAGTGAGCAAAAGTTCAAATTGTTTAGTGAAAAAAATTCAAAAAAAAAAAATAAATAAATAACCAACGCGTAGTTCAAAACAGTTTATAAAAGCTTACAAAAACAAAAAGAAAAAAAAACTAAATTAACAACAAAAACAAATATTTATAACGAAAATAAAGGATAAACTACCTCAAATCGAAATTTCAAGTGTACAAAAAGCAAAGTTAAGAATTACAAAAACAACAACAAGTAAATTACAAAAACGAGTTACAAGCATTTTCACAATAAACTTCCCAAATCAAAAAGAATAAAGAAAAAAACAACAACAAAAACAATCACAAAAAACAACAACTATAAGGGCGGCATTATAACAAAAGTAAGAAAACAACAACAAGAATTAAAAACAACTACAACCCAAAAAAAGAAAACACCAACAACAAAAATAATAATACGTCAAGCAAAGAGTTTTGAGTAAATTTACAACAACCACAAGCGCAAATAACAGTGTACAAAGCATTTGTTTCACAAAACCAAATTTTTATAAACAAAAAATAAACAAAAACAAAGCAAATTTCTGCAAACTTAAAAAAAAAAAAATAAATAACTTGCGTTGTGCGTGTTCTTGAGAAAAACAAAAACAAGCCATACAGTGTGTATGTGTGTTAAAGCTCACACATACACACACGCACACACATAGACGAATTCACATTATAAATAAACGAAATAAAGACTTTACAAACAAAAGCTCGTCGAAAGCCACAAGGGCACAGCTTATTTCTCACTCGTTTGTCACGTGAGCGGTTTGACCGCAGCGCATACGGCTCCCGCCATGCCGAAAGGGGGGCTTAAATGGCGTCTTCAATAATTGCGCAGACCAGCGGCGGCACAGCAGAAACGTCAGCAGCATTAGCGACTACAACTGCAGCAGCAGCAGCAGCGGCGGTAACTAGCAGCCACTACGGCAGTCATTTGAGTCAACACGGATTACAACAACACTACGCGCACGCATATTTGCCGACAGCGCACCCGCAATTGCAGCATACATTGCAACAGCAACAGCAGCAGCAGCAACAGCAGCAACAACAGCAACAGTTTTTATATCAACAGCAGCAACAACAACAACACCAGCAGCAGCAACAACTAGTTGCCGAACAACAACAACATTGGGACTATTATGCACGCCAACAGCAGCTACAGCACTTGCAAACGAGTCAGCAATTACAACAACAGCAACAACAACAACCACAATTACAACCGCCACTTCCTCAACCTCCACCCGCTCGGTCCACTGCTCAACAGCATATACAACAGCAGCAATCTGGCGCTGCCGCAACAGCCAATGCAACCAGCAGCACCACCACCACCACCACAGCCAGCAGTCGCAGCAACCACAACGGTAATAGCAATAATGAACAACAACCACAACAGCAGCAACAAGCGCAACAGCAGCAGCAGCAACAGCACTCGGCTGTAAGCTCACAGTCTAACGGTAATACGAATAACAGCGGTAGCAATAGCGCCGCTAACGCAAATAGCAATAACAATTATACGCGTCCTTGGGAAATGGAGACCAAGGATCATCACAGTCAGAGCAATACGTTGAAGGGTGCCGGCATTGGCAACAACGGTAACGGCAATGGTAGTAACAATGGCAATGGCAATCTTGGCATCGGCAGCGGTTTCGAACCCTTCTCGAAGCTGCCCTCATTTCAGAGTCAATTTCATGGTTACAACGATCCACTCATGCCCGACGGCATTACACCCATGGCTTCGTCAATATTGCCGCCGTCGATGTCCTCACTGCAAACGGTGGCCATGTCACCGGCCAGCATTTCCGTCAGCTCACCAGGTATGGTGAGCGTGGGTTCACCGTTAACACAGCTGAGCAGTCTGCAGGCGAGCATCACACCTCCAGTGGCCGCCGCGACGGCAACTTCATTTGCACCACTTGCGGCACCACCACCGCCACCACCGAATGCTTTCCATCATTTGGGTGCGGTGAATACGCATGGGCATCACCGCAGCAGCACCGCTTATGCACCACTTATGCCCACCAATACCGCCACAATGGGTGGATTTGGTGCTGGCGGCGCACTCGACGATGGACGCCATCACTTGCCTTTGTATCAAACGCTTACACCGACTTACGCTACACCGCCACCACCCGGCGCACTCGCACCGCTGCCAACACAACACTCGCTGAGTGGTCTCGGTAGCTTGGGTGGACTCGGTGTCGGTGTCGCCAAGAAAGATGTTACACAAACATTTGATCTCAATAATGGTAATGGCGTTGGTCTCACACTGGGCGCAACGTCTATTAATACAGCTAATACCAATGTTACACCAATGGGTATGCATACACCGACTACGCCCTCGTATGTAGACGGTGGCATCACTATGATGGATACATCCAATGGCGCTACAGCCGGTTATCATACGCCACACTCAACACATGCTGGTGCGTCTGGCGGTACGGGGGCTGGTGGACCGCATACACCGCATACGACGCAACCGCATACACCGACGCCATCGACGACAACTCAAATTAAAGTGGAGAAAGTATTGAATTCGCCGATTGCACGGGTGGATGCGAGAAAGAAAGAACGTCGGAAAAATCGGGCGAATTCGCTCGAGTCCAGCGCAGAGTCTGAGGCAAGTGCTATGGATGTAGATCCCAGCAATCCCGGACAAGTGGATGCGGTCTCGAGCACGGCCAATTTCAAGAGTCCACTCAGCGCGCTCGGTATGGGCGATAGTAATGATACAAACGGCGACAAACAGGTGAGCAGTGAAATCATACATTAGCCCTTCAAGCCACATAATTATTAATGTGGAACTTTGTTTGCTTACCTCCTAAATTTAGACTTCTGTCTTTCAGTCTAAGAAAAAACGCAAACGTTGCGGCGAATGCATCGGCTGTCAGCGTAAGGATAATTGTGGCGAATGTGCACCTTGCCGCAACGACAAAAGTCATCAAATCTGCAAGCAGCGACGTTGTGAGAAACTCACGGAGAAGAAGGTAAGTCCCAATCTAAGTAACTTTGTAGGGAATTGTTATTGAAATGTCGACTATTGTATTCTTAAATGATTCTTATTGCAATATAAGATTGAGTAGTCGGTAACGGTGGAACGAAGCATATACTAGATTTGAAAAGAGTTATAACTCTTCAGGTATCTATTTGCTTATGTAGGCATCAAACCATTTAACAAAACGGAAGTTGCTCATTTTTTAAATTACCAAAATTATTTTCCAATTAAGAATGAGGATCGTATGTTCTGCTAGGTGAAATATTAAAACCACATTCTGGCATACGCTAATGGTTTGGGGGTATTGGTCTTGCTAGTTACAGATTTAGTTTACCAAAGATCTCGGTATCTGATTGCCTCACGTCCAATTGAGCTAATAGGTATAGTAAAGAGGACTTCTGGTTAAAATAAGCGAGACCGGAGTACGTTTCGAGCTCAAAGTATACAAGGGATACAGATTAGTCATAAGTCGTTCCCACGACAGTTTGATAAATGTAACAAGAACGGGCCTGAATTTTTATCCATTCAAGGATTGTCAAGTCGGCAGCATTTCTCCAAATTACTTCAGAGATGTTTTCTGCTGATACCAATAGAGCAACATAGATCATACTTGTAGGTTGACAGCCTTGAGTTGTCGTTATGGTATTTGTCTATTATTAAATATACTTCTGCAGCTTTTGAGGGCATGACATTGAAGTATATTCCAAATGAAAATATAAAAATGGCAATCAGATAGAAACAACTTGGCGTTCCTTGCGACCTATTGATGAACTGTTTGCTCTGCTCTTTGCAAATATTATCTTAAGATAGATGAATTTCAGAACCACAGTTTGGTAGATGTGAACTTGGTATACAGGTGTGGCGTAGTAATGCCTCACTCATATGTCGAAGACCACGAGATCGGATGTCATTAATATATGACTAATATATGTACAAGCGATTCTTCAGATATAAACAATTTCTTTGTGATTCTATCAGTTAATCAGCAGAGAATTCGAACATTGCGGAGGTGAGAGAGTAACACCCAGAAGGAATGTATAGTAAATATCTGCCTTACAAACTATTCGATCAAACTCAAGTCCTTATATGGAAAACTTTTTTGTGGGACTTGGTATCTTAACCAAATTTGGTATGTATTTTTTCCAATGCAATGCTGCAATCTTGGAAAAAAAAGTTTCAGATTGGATCGCTATAGCATATAGCTGCCATACAAACTGACCGATCCATATCAAATATCCGATAGGAAAACTTTTTTGTTTGACAAGATACCTTCACGAAATTTGGTATATAATATTGTGCAAAGCAACGATATAATCTACGAGCAAATTGTTTAGATCGGATTCATATAGGATATAGCTGTCATACAAACTGTCCGTTTAAACTCAAGTATTTTATTATTGTATGGAAACTTTTTTTTGCGAAGCGTGAAAAGCCTCGGCATTATTTCTTGTTAAAAAATGCATTTGATAGCCAGTCTATACTTTTTCTCGATAAAAGGGGTTTCTATTTAACGTAAATTGAGTACAAATATGTATACGATTAGGCACGAATCGCCTGGTGCCTGAAATTGAATTACTTTATATAACGCTAAAAATTCCTAGAAATTAACTAAACTCTCAACTGCGGAAGCTCAACAAACTTGGAGTACATTTTTTCTACATTGTTTCCAAATACTACAACAAAAATAAAACTTTTATCGTATAGCGGCGAATAATAGTATGGTTACAAAGCAAATACGCTGCCATACATATACATATTCATGTTATACATATGTATATGTAGGTATAAATGTATATTGTGGCATGAAGCACTTAATGCAGCCTTCAACTATATAGCAACAACAAAAACAACGCACAGAAAATATTATAATAACAAAAATTATAAATACAAAAACAAATATAATACAAAGTTAACAACAATGAAGGCAGTAATAATAACAGGAAGGCCGAAATGCCAAAAAGGAATAAACGTATATGTGTGTGTGTGTGTGTGTGTATAATGCCTACTACAATAGCAACAACTGTTTAGCAAACCGACGAGCAGATGTTCACAAGTTGCAAACAAACTCATGCACGCATACATACTTATATAGAAGCAGGCAACATTTGTACAATGCAGGAACAACAACAACAAAACGACAAGCCTGAAAATGCTTTAGAGACAGCACAATAATACATACATATGTACGTATATGCATACATACAGGCGCACTAAATCGACTTACATATGTGTGGATGTGTACGTGTGTTTAAGATATGCATGTGTATGTGTGTGTGGAATTGCGCTCATTTTATACAAAATATTCATGTATGTATCTATGCAGTTTTTGACTCGACGATCGAAGCCATAAAACATGTACAAACAAACATACATACAGACAAGCTGGAAACTCAGCGTAAAATAAAGAGAGCCACGAGAGTCACGCGGCACAAACCAACTGGACTCTATCAATTGACATACACACACGCACACACACACACAGAAAGGCTAATGGCAGACAAAAGTTGAATTTTTATAAGAATTACAAAAAGAATTAGTGCAACCAACAACAAAAAGGCAGCATTTGTTCAAAATTTAGCGAATTGGCGCAGCATACCGTAGCGCTCCGATCCAGCGTACTTCCGAAGTGACCAAGAAGTAACGGCAGACCGTGCGAGCTAGCGAAACCGCACAAAAGTGGAGCCGTGTAAGACAGCGCTAAGGAAGACAAATATTTCAACATTAATTTCACACAGACAAACAGACACATAAGCATATGTACATATGGAGGCATGTGTGTTTGCAACTCCAATTTGGTTTTTTTAATTTTTAACCTACAACATTTTGTTGTTCTTGTTTGCGAGTGTGAAAAATTGTGCGCCCGTTTTTGCGAAAACACAGCTGTCGCCTGACGCATCGGCCATTCATTCATACAATATAAAAGTGGCGCTGCGCATGCGCAAAAACCGGTTGGCGCGCAGTAGCCTCCACGTAACGCAGCTTCGATTAAACACCGGCAGCAATTGTAGCGCAATTTGTTGTTGCACACCTATACGCATATATAGCGTTAGCGTTCAACAATTTACACCGTTCCGTCTGTCTGCATGTCCGTCTGTCGGTACACATGTTGCAGCTGCTCTACTAAAAGCGTATTATATCTTCACGTGGTAGCAACCTGCCTTATTGTTATTGGCTGAGATTTCAAACTCAGACGCATTCGCTTTATTATTATTTTTTTTTTTGTTCAAGCGTGTACTCGCTGTACTTCGCTGATTTTCGCTGTCAATTCCGTTTGTGCGCTATCAATGAATATTGACGTAACTTTTAAGCGGGAAGGCTTGTATTTTAATTTAATTTTTATTTTTGTTTTCTTGATTTGCAGTTGCAATCTTCAGCATTTTTCATTGTTTTTACTTTTTGTGACTTTGTGTCGCTTTGCTCTTTATTTACGAGCATGCCTTGGTGATCGGTCTTCTTCAGGTTTTATTGATTACTTTTCGTATACGTTTTTGTTTTGAATTTTTTTATTGCTATTTTTTTCGAAATTACCTTTTTCGTTCTTTTTGTTACTTTGCTTACACATTATTTTCGGGCAGCTGCAAAATATTCTGATAACTGTATTTCAATGCACTGTTATTTTGTACCAAATTGATCGATAAGCCAGGACACTGACTTTTGAACTTTCACGTTTGTGGCAGAAGTAGTTTCCAATTTTATGTATTGCGGTAATTTATTTCGATTGACAGCGGCAATCGAGCAACAAATTTTACGAGGTTTTTCGCTACTCGCAAAATCGCAAACTCCAGTTTATTAACCAATACACACAAAACTGAAACAATACCCAGAAACACTCATATTGCTCGTATCAACAACAAGTTTTTTTAAACTCGAAGTTTACACCATTCATAAACTCGAGTTTATTGGTAAATTGCGTGGTTATTTGTTGAAACTACTCAGACATATGGAGTATATAAAAAAACGTGATATCGCATTAAACTCGCTTTTCTTAAACTCGAGTTTATTGATAAACCCCAAACGGTAACATACGCAGAAACACCGAAATTATCAACAACAAATTTTTTTTAACTCGAAATATACTACATTCATAACACGAGTTTATTGGTAATTTTGCCGTATATCGTTAAAGACTACTCAGAAATATAGAGTATATGTATAAAAAACGTGAAATCGCATTAAACTCGCTTTATGGATCGCTAATAAATTCGATTTTAAAGATCAATAATCACCGATTCGACATCGATTGTATCATATATAAATTTTCCTTTTAACTCATCTTGCAGACCATACACAGACTCGAGTTTATTAGTTGTTTTCATATTTAGGGTTAAATGTCAGCAATATAGAATGCAAAATAAAGTTTTAACCCGCTTTAAACTCGCCTTACAATTTCCAAAGTTCGAGTTTAATGACCAATAAACACCAAATTGAAACATTACCACGAATAAAGATTTTAACACACATAAAATTTTCTTTTTACACCATTTATAAACTCGAGTTTATTGGTAATTTTTTTGCATTAATTTATTCATAAACTCGAAATCTTAAATTCAAGTTTCGTTTTCTAGACTAGTTGATTTTTACGCAGAATTTTCTGACTAAAAACTATTAATTTCCCAACTAGTTGGCTATTTTACAGCAGGGTACAAGTAAAATCCAATCCATCACGAAAAACGCACTAATAACAATAACAAGCTAACACAACAAAATTAATAGAAACAATTGCACAATGAGATTTAAATTTTAAATCAGGATAACTATAGCAACGAAAATAACAGTAATAACAAGCAAACCATCAAGCCGGTCAAGTAGAGGCTCTACATAATATGAACATCTGTATATAATAAACTAGTTAAGCGAACAAACCTCAACGGAAGAGCGAATTGAGAGGAAATCGCATAGCAACATTAATTACGCAATCAGCGTTTACTATTCAATCAGCAGCTGTTGCAATTGTTCACTTAAAAGCGGCTTAAATGCCACCATTGCCAGAGA